GGGGGGGGGATTGGGTTCTGGTGCAGTGGTGGGAGCAGGGACATCCATACATCACATGGCCCAGGGGGCCTGTGGCTTGCCCTGGAACAACCTGTAGTCGCACAGCTCCTGCTGGTGTGGCCTCTGGTGTGTTTGGTCCCTAGCTGCTTAGAAGTGGGAATGCCCTGGGTTATCTATCCTTACATTATATCCCATTATTTCCTAACGTCTACAGCTTCAATCTGTGGTGCACTGGGAACTGAGTAACTGGGTTGTTATGGCTATTGGGTAAAAGTCCACAAATTTTTCTATGAAAACCTTGACAACACAAAGTATTTCCTGTTACAACAATAGTGCTGCCTAACTAGCCAATTTAAAAATAAAATAGTCTAGTTGACTTAAGGTTTTGTATGGCTAGAGTGTCAAAGTCTTTGTGCATTCATATTTCCCCCACTCCTGCCAATATTTTAACAGTGCTCTGAAATCACAGAATCATAGAAAATTAGGGTTGGAAGAGACCTCAGGAGCTCATCTAGTCCAACCCCTTGCTCAAAGGAGGACCATCCCCAACCATATCACCCCAAGCAAAGCTTTGTCTAGCCAGATCTTAAAAACCTCCAAGGATGCAGATTCCAACACCTCTCTGGGTAACTTGTTCCAGTGCTTTACTACCCTCCTAGTGAGAAAGTTTTTCCTAATATCTAACCTAAACTTCTCTTGCTGCAACTTGAGACTATTGCTCCTTTTGTTATGTGGCATCACTGAAAACAGCCTAGCTCCATTATCTTTGGAACCACCTTCAGGTAGTTTAAGGCTGTTATTAAGTCCTCCCTCAGTCTTCTCTCTCAGACTAAATAAGCCCAGCACCCTCCCTCACAAGTCATGTGTCCCAGCCCTCTAAGCATTTTTCTTGTCCTCCTCTGAACTCTAAATTTGTCTTCATTCTTTCTGCAGTGAGGGGCACCACAACTGGACACAGTACTCCAGAAGTGCCCTCATCAGTGCCAAATACAGGGGAATAATCATTTCGCTCGATCTGCTAGCAACATGTAGTAATGCCACCCAGTATGCTGTTAGCCTTTTTCGCAACTATTGACTCATTCTTATTGTACACTGTAACCCCAGGTCCTTTTCTGCAGAGCTGCTACTTAGCCAATCAATCCCTAGCCTATACCACTACATGCAATTGTTTCACTGCAAATGCAGGACTGCAAATCTCACAGCATATCCAATGACTGTAATAGGCTAGTAGGCACATTTGTTTCTTTACATAAGAAAATGTTATACCAAAGTTTAGAGAATCTACAGCATCTTTTCACTGACCTACAGGATGCCTATACTGTCCTCATTTTCTAGAGCTATGCACCGCCTCAAGACTAGCACTTATTCTCCATGATGAACAGACGCTATACTAATTTTTGCAGTACCATATTGAATTGCAGTCTTCCAAATAATCAGACTTTTTATAATGGATAGAGGAGAGGACAAACAGGAAATTTACCTTCCTTCTTTCCACCTGTTTATGTCAAACACAGCAGTATAGAGCACATCTACCAGTCCCAAAGTCTTTTCTGGATCCAGACTCCTCTGTAATAATGACATCGTTGCTGGATCTTCTTTCAGACACCTACAAACATTGAAAATTCCAAATAATTCCACCATCTTTAAAGGAAAAAAAAATCTAAAATTTTGATGAACTGGGCAAACAAAGTCAAAGTGCTTGCCCAGTACCAGTAGGAGATTGTTGTTCATCTTGATACTCCAGTCTGAACTATGCCATGAAGAAAGGCAGCTACCCACTTAATTAAATCCAGAGTCCTTGCACATGTCCTGGAAGCAGGGAAGGATTTTTCCCCCACTTGGAGGAACGAAGCAGCATTCAATATGTGTACAGAATTGAGCTAATATAAAATCCTAATTAATTTATTTTTCAAAGGGTTCTGAGGAGGAACCATTGCTTTCACCAGGAAGGGAGAAGTAAGAAGTTTTAACTGCCATCAGATCTGTCTGGCAAGGAGCCAGAGTGAATAAAGTGACACATTAACATCTGGATTTTGTCAAATATTAGATTAGCATCTCTACAAGACTGAAATGACCAGGCTCTATCGGCATTTGTCAGTAGGGGGAGCTCCCCTAATGATTTTGAGTTACAACTCAAATACTCCACTCTTTTAGACCCCTTTACAAGTAGAACAATGTATACAACAGGCAAATCACAATGCCAGAAATGCCAATTTATAAAATGGAGGAATTAAGGAGTTTGTCTTCTTCTAGGGAAAGGAACCATCGATTCACACCACTTTAGGACATGCCATAATTGTACCAATATGGACAGGCAGCCTCCACTGAAGACTCAGAATCATCAACTCTACTGAATACTCAGAATCATAAGCTGCCTTGTCTTCAAGAAGTCCACAATATTGGGAACTTTGGAGCAGGAGGTACCTGAAAATATGTAGTCTTTGTTGGATAACATCTTTACTTAAAATGCAGGTCTGTCCTGGCAGTTTAGCTGCTAAACAAAAGTAAGAAATCCTTCAGGTCCACAGTCTAACACGACTGTGGGGCCACCAAAAACTTTCAAGAAAGCATCAGTATGTCACTCATTTCCCACCAGAATTCTGTTGGACAAGGAGGATTTGTTACTTTTCTCTTCCTGCTGAAAGAGACGGTTACTCTTAAAGACCCTCTGAATGAGGGCCTTCCCTCATCTTCCATCCAAGAATGAGGGGTCCTCTCATGCTAAACCTTCATGAAGCATCTCCCCTGCTCAGGTATAGTGACTTAGCAGTTAATGCACTGAAGGTCTTTTGTAGAGGCGGGTATTTTTCCCTCTTCCTTTCATCTGTTTAATTTTTTACATCTATTCTTTTTTCAAACCTCTTCAGTTTTCTAGCTGACAGATTTGCCTCCCTTCATTGTCTCCAAAATACAGGGTAAATGCAAAAAACTTCTAGATGCAGCTATAGGTCAATCTTACAGCAAGAGCATCATCTATCCTTTGATCAAGAAGCCTACAGAGATGTTACACCTGAACATCATCAAATCTCTATATAAAAACATAAATCAAGCTTAAATTATGCCATATTATCACAGTACAAGATATTTATTTACCACGTTGATGGAACTTGCACAACAATTCTGGATCCTTCCAAACTAATCTGAGGAGCATATGCTTCTTTATTTTCAATCTGCGCTGTGTCCACAACCACCTAACAAATGAAGTGAAAATATTTAGATACTTAAAAAACAGGTTTTAGTTATTTTTACTCCCTGAATTTAGGGTTTAAAATCCCAACCTCTACTATGTTACAGATTCAAATTATAATGAAAATCAGTAAAACATATAAAACATCCAAATAATTTCAACATATAAAAAAGTGGACAAGATATATGTGGATTAAAAATATAAATATCCTTAATTCTATCCATTACCACACATAGTACTCCTGCATCACCACCTTTAGTATCTGCTATTATACAGACACTCCAGTAACTATCAGCGGTGCTACCTGAGAGGTCTGGAAGCAGGAATGTTAATTCTTGAAAGCTATAACTTTTATACTGTCATAAGCATCTACTTGATAATTTTTTTGGAAACAAATAAATGGTTCTTCAAAACAAACAACGGCAAAGCTTCACGCGAGACAGATTAAAGGTATTTTAGTTGAACTCTACCACAACTTTCAATTCTATAGTGTTCTGGAGTTTTAGAACGTGCATCCACATTTCCTTCCTCTGCCAACTTTGAAGCATGTCATCATTATTAGGTTGTTTTACTTAAATGAGGGAGGGGAGCTTCCCATTTTCAGAGTTCTCATCCTCATCTGACAAAAGGTTTCTGAAGCTGGAGGCCTTGGAAATTACCATTCTGATCTTGAACCTTCCCTTTTTAGGGAAACGAAAAGGGAATGGGCTTCCACTTCATATAAGCCTCATTACCAGTGATACTGTGAGAAGGTTCCACATTTAATTCAAGGTTTCATTTGAAATCTAATCTAAATGGGTAGTCCATCTTGGTCATTTCTACAATTCTGCTATTTTGGTCATGCTGACCCAGCAGCTTTTGACAGCCACCATCAGTTCTTGCTTCAGTGACTAACAGATTAGCTATACCATTTAACCTTGAAATGGCATAGTCCTCCAGGGCAAACAAACCTTAAGAGATGTAACTGGCATGTCTGCAGTCACCATCCACTGCTTCTGTTTCTCTCTCATAGGCAGGAATCAACTCGTGGTGATAGACAAATGTGTCATATGAGGAATTTGAAATATAGGGGCCTGAAGTCTATTCTCTCTTCTGTCAAACTCATTTAAATCACGGAAAGGAAAGCAGTGCTGCCATTACCCAACTCTAGGGGTTTCTTCAGAGAGCTGACGACTTTCCTTTGGTTGTCCCTGGATATGTACCCAAGCCCATTCCCTCCTATTTGTAACCAGTGTCTGAGCACACCATTACAGAAGACAATTCTGACTGTTGTCTATACTGCACTGTACATGCTTTTTCATCCTCACTAAAGTAATGTCATTTTACTTTTTTGTTTTGGTTTTATTGCAAGTTCAGGAAACTTTGATTTTATTCAGGCAGTTGATGATCTTAGTAGCACCTTTACTATGAGTTTAATAGAGTAAGAAGGGAAAGATTTATTCCCAGTATTCATGGGCAGAAGCTATATGCAACTTAGATGTTTAATTCAGAATCAAAGTCTTGCTCAAGCCCAAATTAACTTGTTAATGCAATTACTCCACATTTGGACAGGGTTCCAGCATCCAGGGTTTAGAAAGTCCCAGGGCTCCTCTGGGAGTGCTGTGTTAACAGTAGGAAGAACAGCAAGCACAGAACTACCCTAACTATAGCTTCATTTGAAACTACACCCATTTAAGAACGTCACTGTGACTATTTTTCCTGAATTAAACTGCAAACAAACCAGAAGACACCTTAAATCTGTGGTACTGATGTTTAAAGAAAGAGGTGCCATTTGATATGATCCTTATTAACATCACCATGTATGATAATATAAACATAAATGCAGAAGATAAATGAACTTCAGCATTATTGCAGGAATTAGCAGCAGGACTAAAATAAATGCTTGTGTCAGGGACAGAAAGTCACACGAAGACACAAAAATATCAGCATACTCCATGTGTACAAATAAACACAGTGGGTGTTCTTCAAGATAAGTTGTGATCTATATCTCAGTACTCCCAAAATAAACACTCACATTTTAACAACTAATGAAATAAAGCTAACTATCCAGGCTTGCTATACAAATACACTGGATTCATGGTTGCCTTGTGTTATTGAAGCAACACAAGACATGTGGAGTGTTCTGGTATATCTTCAAGGAGTCCTTACTTATCAAACCACGAGACACTGAATTCAGCACAGTGCAGCAGGACAAATCCTGAACTTTCTTGCTTTTGCTAGTGGAAGTCATAAACATGTTAAGTAGCTTTTACAAGCGTGATTTTAGAAGTATTGAGCCGTTGCAATTTCAGCTGACTTAAATATAAAAATCAGGTTTTTACATCAGCAAGCTAAGACAAGTTATTTAGTGGTCTCTTATTAAAGACTTTGAGGATATGAAAAAGTTAAGTCACACCTAACTTTGCTTTCTAATCTTGTTTCTGATAAGGTTCTTTTTAAAATATTCCACAGATTTCATAGACATTAGGGCTGGAAAGGACCTTGGAAGATCGAGTCCAGTCCCCTGCCCCCGGGGCAGGAAGTCAGCTGGGGTCACAGGATCCCAGCAAGATAAACATCCAATTGACTTAAGGAATCCAGAGTAGGTGCTTGCGCCACCTCCAGCAGCAGTCTTTTCCAAGCCTTGGGGGTTCGGACTGTAAAGAAGTTCTTCCTTATGTCCAGCCTGAAACAATCTTGGAGAAGTTTGTGATTATGTGACCTTGTCATTTCATGGGGTGCTCTGGTGAACAGGCATTCCCCCAGATCCTGATGTACACCCCTTATATACTTATAGGCAGCCACTAGGTCCCCCATGAGCCTGCGTTTTTCCAGGCTGAAGAGTCCCGTAGCTGTCAGCCTCTCATCATAAGGCCTGTTTTTCTGCCATCTGATCATGGATATGGCTTTCCTCTGGACTCTCTCAAGCTTCTCCACATATCTGACAAAAATGTGCACAGCACAGGGCAAAGAAAATTTCCATGAAACTTTCCTATAATATTTAATTTGGGAAAATGACAAATTAAACCTATGAATTTCAAGTGATGCAGAGAACTCCTGCATTTCTAAAAACAGTAGAACAAAGGGTGTATTATATCTACTTGTGATTCACATTTATCCAAGTTCTGGGCAAAATAAATTCAAAATACAGCCAGTACACATTTCTCACACCCTGTCTGCTGGGATAATTAGAAATCAGCTTCCTGTTCATCAGACATCTATTGTTCTTGTTTTACAGGTGTTTCCTCCCTCATCCCCACCCAGAGTATGCTCTAGAAAAGGAACAGAATTTGTCATCATTACACAACGTTATACAACGTTAAGTGTATCTTCACCTTGCAGAATTCCTTATACAGAATTTCTTAAAAAGGTGTGCGTAGATGTTCACAAACATGAAAGTGGCAAATTTTGGTTCTGATGAGATTACAGTGCAATTTAGCCAAAAAACAAAAGGATCACAAACCAAGCCACAAGACAGTATGCAAAGATGACCATACATCTTTCAAGAGTGAAAGATTATAAGTTATGTTTATTGTTACTTATGTATCTTGTTAATGCCACTTCGAAGATAAATAGCTTCCACTTTTACATCATTGATGTAGGCAGTAAATTGAGTTATTCATCTTCTTAAAACTGGTAATTTCATTTTGGCTCCAACTATAATGAAAGGAGGCCCTTACCAGCAGCTCTCCCTGCTGCCAGCACAGAGCCCTCATGTTAGAAACAGCAAATGCTAGTGTGGCTGTTCCTTCCTTAGGTCCAATTCCTTATACCTTATTGCTTTTAGTCCAAATTTTTCCACCAGATACTCCAGCAGGTATACAAACCACTTCACCTAACCCCTGTGGAGACCAACCCTATCCTTATTCCAACTCCTCTTGCATTTAATGTTTTTCAAGTAATTTCTCTTACAAAGGCACCTAACAGAGACTTTAACCATTCACTCCTCTCATTATCCTGTCACCAAAAACTCCCTTCCTGTGCCACAGATCTTGCAGGCTAGCCTTTCTTATCAACAACCCCTGTATCATGGTGAGGACCAGGACTGACAGTAGTTACTACTGCATAGTTAACATGACTATTGTTGCCATGTTAGCAGGGAGGAAAGCAGAACTGCAAAGTGTAGTTACTTTCATTTTAACATTGCTTCTGTGGCAAGTCACACTTACTATTATATTCTCCTGCATTAAAAACATGTGCAAGACCACCTTTGTCTGCACTTCTAACAGTCAAAGAAACTAAGCCATGTAGTAGGGTACTTAAGATCAAAGTGATACTCAGATACAAGAGAGTGACAAACACTTATGATTGCACTAAAAATGATCAACGAATGCAATACCAGAAGAAATAAACTAAGACTGGAGGGAATTCATGGTAACTTACTAATCAGCTAGACCTGCTTGAACAAAGGCAGTAAGGGCATTTTTACATGTGTTCCTGACGTGGAGCCAGTTGCTTTTAATTAGCAAGTCACGCTAATTAAAAACACCCATGTGTCACATGCATCAGTGGCGCAGTATGTCCCTGCACTGAGAAAATGGCAGTGGGACATTTTGAACTAAAGCCCAAATGTGTTTTATTTCAAAATGTACCACCGTCATTTTCTCAGCACAGAGACGTGCTGCCCCACTGATACACATGACATGCAAAGGTGCCAGAGCGCATCAATTTCCATCCTCCAGCAGACTTGACCGAGTCTGTTCCAACTTCCAGCATGCTGAAGTAGGCTCCCCTCCTGTGTGTAAGCGCCCTAGCTGACTTTATTTGATACACTGCAACATGCATCTTTTTCAGAGACTAAAAAACCCTGCCAAATCTTGATTACTTACGCTCAAATTGCAAACAGTAAAAAAAATCATTGACAACAGATGATCCAATAACAGTTAGACCAACTTAGTGCTGACTTAAAAACAACTTGATTAAAACTCTTATGTACAATGACATAGCTCTAAAAGCGCACAAGTTTACTTCCTATTGCATTGCTGGTAAAGGAAGGCTGCTCCCATTTTATTAATGAACTAGACTACAAGTTCACAACAGTCTAAAAGAAATACTACTCCCGAGTAAATAGGAGCATATTTTGTTAAATAGAAAGGCTGCAGTGATTAGTTATGTTACCATAGAGGCATATTCACTTAAGAAGAAACAAGTAGTTTAAAACAAGTGCTTTTATAAGCTGTTTGGAAATCGAGGCAAAATAAATGCATCTTTTAAAAGTGAAGATTTACCTGTCATATAACCACTGTAGTCTCAGTTAGATATGCTGTTTTACCGCTACTTAAGAGAACTGACTTTAGATAATTATCAACCAGAAAATCCAACTCCCATTCAAGTATGCATAAGGGGTAGCAAATTCAAAGCTGTCTTTTTTTTTTTTTTTTTTTACAAATGGAGTTCTGCTATCATTAACAGTATTTTTCAGTCTTCCAATTTTACTATTACTTAAATGTTTCTTATCGGCATCATATTGTACAGACTGAAACTTCTGATTTAGTTTTAAAGCTTGTAGTGCTTTCCTTCACATAACCAACTGGCCATGGTGTTCAAAATATACTGCATTACACTGTACCTTCCCTTTGAGTTTTCAATCACAATTAGTAATTCTGAATCTACGATCTCCAAGGAGCCATGTTGCTCACTGGCAAAACCAAATTCTCGGCAACAATGGAAATGGCAGAGCTCAAAGAAACTGCAACCCAACTTCCAAAATATTTTAATATCTGGAAGAAAGTTAGTATGGCTTTTATAAAAGTCCAGGTAGTGAAACTACTAGCCAAGTTAGCAAAACTACAACATTATAATACACAGTATATATGGTGCTGTACACTTATTTTATGACTGTGAACTCTAGAGCTGAGAACAATAGCTCCACACCTACAAACAGCAGAAAAGCCTCAACTCTAACCATCTCCTGTGGGGCCATAGAATGCTCATCACCCTGCACACCAGTACAAATGATTTCAGTTTTCCTCCAACAGAAGAGGTATTCTGGTCCAAAAAATAGTTTTTTAAAATAATCCTTTTATTGCTTATCTATCCTCCACCAGCCATAGTCACTTACCAGTCCAGCTTGGCCAAATAATAGCTGCACAGCAGTTTTGCAGGCTCCCCGCCAAGTAGAAGGGCAAACCTGATTTAGTACTTCAGTAACAGGAGCATCATCATGTGGTGTAAGTCCATTATGGCAACCAGCCTCTTTAATCAGTTGAAGCATTGTATGCTGCAAGTCACAAAAACCTGTTACATGCATTACTCAAAACAGGCTAATATACATATATTTTACAATATATGTAAAAATGTTTAGGGTACAAAAAAGTCATATTTAACATACGAGAGATTTCCCAGCCTTAATTATTGCACTTGCCACCTGTAAACAATTTGTATAAACAAATGGAAAAGCTAAAATAATCAAAACAAAATTATTTTCTACCACCACAAAGCGCTCACCAGTTTCTGCCCATGGGAAATGGTTTAATCAACAAATTAAGAAGAATACTGCACAGCAACCACTGAACTAAAATATAGTAATTCAAATGCAATTAATTTTAATTCTTCCAGGAGGAGGAAATTAGCTTACTTGGGGAGTGGGGGGGAGAAAGAAAATACTGACAAAAGCCTGACAGCTCACCTGTGAATGGTACTCTATACTCTACTAAGTTGACTCTTGTACCGCTTCTAAAAGTTCATTTTTAATTCTTTTGGTACAAATTGTTTATAAAAGCATATTAAACATGAGCTTTGCTATACTTCTCTGAAAAATGTACATTTTTAAACGCAAGTGTTATGTCAAACTTCTCTATTTACTTGATTCTTAATTAAAAATTTAAAAGATGGTTTGACTTTGAGCCATTACCGTTTTCAGCTTCAGGTTCTCTGCTGCAGACTCATTAAAGGATATGCCTTTCAGAAACTGGGATCCTATCTGAACAGGTACAGTCGGGAGTTCACACTGAATTGGCTGAGGTGGGGTTTGTCTCCTTCCTGTTTGCTGTGCTTCAGCTTCACTACAACAGCCCTTGAAGACAAAATGGAGATCAAGAAATAAAAAAGGACAATAAATGAAGACAGTAAATAGAGAGTAAAAGAGTAAATAAAAGTTTTATAAAAAAATATCATTCTTTACCATTCATTTTCAAATAGGGAAGGGAAGAAGTATATGGATCTTACCTGCAAACTTGCTTCAATAGCTTTTGGATTTAAGTGAAAGCCAGCCTTCATTGCATATTCACAATGGCCTAAACTCTCCAAAGCAATTTTGTAAGCCTGATGTTAAAAAAGATTTAAAGATGCAACAGTCAGCCAATAATCAATGATGCAAAAGTATACTTATGAATTTACACAGCCATGTTACACACACAGTGGGATCTTCTGTAGAATCTTAAAATTTTACAAGATTCTCATAAAACTACAGAAGTCCCCAATATTTTTCCAGCTGACTGCACTCCATTTTTCAGGGGCAATGCATGCTTTCCCCTCTTCATCCCCCAATCTGACTGGAATAGACATATGCAAAAAAAATTAAAGCATCAAAGAAATGAACCTGCAAAGCACTGTCAATTTTCATGTTCAGTTCTTTCAGTTGATGTTCGGGGATTGCCACACTTTGTGAGCAGAAGAGCTGCTGAACCTCAATTCCAGCCAAACACCCATCACCGCCTCTTTCTCGCAGTCGAGATGTGGCCTTTAACATAGGACACAAACAGAAATACTCAAGTAATTTTGGTTCAACATGATGATGGATCTAGTCAACATATAACTGAAATAAAAAAGTGAAAAGAACCTGGAACAGAAAAATTGGTGCAAATATTTAAACCTTTTTGTTACTCTAAAAGAAAATATCACACTTCATATAACATATACATGTGTATGCCTCAGATAGTGAAAAAGCAACTGCTAGCAGCACAAGTCAATGCTTTTTCGCATCTCAATTTCTCAATACTTTAGTGGATTAAGAATCCTGCTATCTAGGCCACAGTGGGTTGGTTATTACTGAACACGAGTAAGAATGGGGGAGGGGGAGGGAGAGGCTGAGCATGTAGGTCGCCTTTACACGTTTCGAGGTGGGGGGCACTTTAACTAAAGTGGCTCCGAAAGCTGCTCTAATTCAAGCGCCCTCAGCATCTTGTGCATCTGCAACCCCACGTTTCAAAATGGTAGTGGGGGTGCCTTAACTAAACCTCACTGAACAAGCTTTAGTTAAGGTGCCCCTGTTACCATTCTGAAGTGCAGGGATGCCAATACATGATACGTAGAGGCTGTGGAGCATGCTAATTAGCATGCTCCAGCAGACTCCATTTGAGTCTGCTCTGATGCTCTGTAATTACAGTGTGTTGAAGCAGTGTCCCCGCACATCTACAGGCACCTGTAATTTCAATTGGAAGGATGGCTATGCTCTCGCTGCACAACCAGGACTAATCTCACCAGCCCATATACATGCATATATACACAGAAAAGACACCATGTATGATTGAGGGAGATTATCAGGGCAGAACTTGGAAAAATCCATAAAAAATGCAAGGCCATCCTGGTTGAGTAAGAGTTACTTAGTAAAATTTGTGTCAAAGAACATTATAAATTCAAATATCCCTTTCTTTAAGTTTCTGAAGTGTACCCCCTGCAATACTGAACATACTATATAGCACCAATTTCTTAAAGTTCATGGGAGGAGTCTTGTCTGAAGCAAGTTGTCCTCGGTGACAAAACCATAATTTACGAGAGCTCCGAGTTACAGTTTTGTTTTGTGTTGTTTTTAATAGAAGCCTTGGCCATGACGAACATGCAGCCTGAACAACGTAACAGGAGTGCCGCATACTCCAAATTCAATTCTTGATTATTTAAAGAGCTTAGATGCTCACAGAATACCTTAAAGCCTTGCAATTACTGAGACAGGTGATTTAAGATAGAAATAGATTAAATTATTTTGCTGTAGCTATGTAACAGGAGAGAACTTGTGTTCTCTTATTTTCTACTTTTGTATACTTAACAGACTTAATTCTCCCTATATATGAATCTGCATTCACAAACAGTTATACGTTTCTTCAAAGAAATGGCTTAAGTGGGTCAAGATGCCAAAATACATGCCTAACTTTAACCGTATTAATTGTGCCATTAAAGACCTAGCCAAAGAAAAATTTCTATGTAGCAACTTCCTAGAAACTAAGAGCTTTACAGATTGAACTTCATGAAGTATAAGATTAATTTATGCTTGACACAGACACAGCTTCTTCTCAGAACGTCAGTGTTTAACATAATTTTTAAAACTGACAAAACTACAGCATAAAGTTTAACAATACTACTCCAGAAATATAGGTAGGAACTTAAATTCCTGCCTTACTCCAATGAAAGATAAATCAATTGAAGTAGGAGTTGCAAGTCCTTGCTCTAGATTCACAGTTCCATAGGAAACGTGTTTGTTGTCCTATACCTTGCAGATTTTACTTGATAAATGGAAATCCTGACAGGATTTCCAGTCAGGATGACCAACATGTCTGTGTGGGCTGCTAAATTCGACTTCAAAAGCACATATACACACATTACTTTAATTTTAAGGAAACTACATATTCAGAGTCTCAGTCATTTTTGATCTAAAGAGCTATTTATACATTTGAAATAACCTCCAGGAAGAAGAACAATGCAGGTATATTACGGCTTGTTAAACTATCCTCCCTTGAATGTATTTTTCCTTGCAGAGATGATATAGATTTTATAGAGAGTACATGTTTTTAAGGTATAAATCTACAGATAAGTAATATGCTTAGCCTTTGACAGTTTGTAATTCAAACAATATTGAGTATTGCAGCTTTCCGACAAGAACTTAGTCGTGACCAAAAGTTAAGATACAAAACAATATGTTGACTCTACATACTGTATCTCCTTAAATAATTTCTCTGAACACTTAAAAAAATAAATAAAATTAAGAACTACATCTTCCCTAATTAAAACATTATAGCAATTTCTCTCTCTTTTTTTTCAGTTTTCTTTGTCCATCTGATAGCCTTTTGTATACAGTTAATTCCTCTGCTTCATTACAGACTATTTCACTTGTTTGTGGACATCTTTCATGCAGCCATACTAAAGAGAAGAGACATCTTTAAATACCATATTTTCCACATACAACTTGCACCTTTCCCCTAAAATCAGCTCTCTCCAAAATTGGGGTGCATGTTTTAAATAGAAAAGCTGTTTTCTGCACTGGATAAGAAGCCAACCTAGAGACATTGTGAATGCCATGCAGGTGCCAAGATGACAACTTGTCCTGTGTTAACCCTCTTGCAGCCACAGCTATTGACTGAGCGCAGTAGCTTGTGCCTAAAGCACAAGTGAGCTGCTGGTATTTTCTTGATAGGGCTTGGGATGTGGGAACACCACTTATTTACAAGAATTTATATAAAAAATTACTTACTGTAAAGAACTAACAGTTTCAAGGCCCTGGACCCTAACTTTGTGTGACAGAGCTTCCACGATGTATGGCATCCCAGGAGATGGTCTGGGTGAAGCGGCTAGCACTAGGAATTTTCTGGGCCCACACTTCCTGGACAGTCTGTTCCTACGAGGACCAAAGTGACATTCTGCCATGACTCTGGAACCATCTCCTCCCCCCCCCCCCCTTC